GATCACGTCAGAAAAGTTTGAACAATTTTCCGAATGAGTTAAAAGCACGACGATGAATTTGTCAAAAAGTTTTATGAACTGAATTATTATATCGATGAACAAACGTGTTGCAATGATCAGTGAGAAACGAGGAGAACGATTAAAGTATTAAATTTATTAAGTGCATGTTTCTATATTACAATGTTTTTCCCTATTTATACCGTTTATATTGGCAGTGCCTTTTGACTTCAATAACTGTTTTAGATGCTTAATAGTGACGAATGTATTAAGTACACACTTCTACCATGCATATTCAATAAAAGTACTATGCGAAAACTCAACGACTTATTGCCTACGTGAAAATTATTTTGAAGACCTTATACATGCATACAAACTAAATAGAACTCAATTTCAACACGTTACGCACACGTTACGCACACGTTACGCCACACGTTATGCCTTTCACTATATAAGAATCTATAGCAAGCTGACACGTTACACACGTTACGCCTAATATATTAAAGGTAGACCTATTCTACCTTTAAAAGAATGGGGCGTAACGTGTGTAACGTGTCGGTTTTCATTAATATTCTATATAAAGTCAAGCGTAACGTGTGGCGTAACGTGTGTGTAACGTGTGCGTAACGTGTCATCTATTCTTATATATTTCTTTGAGAGTAAATGTGCAATGATGGCAGCATGAAAAAAGTTCATCCAAAAGCACCAGTTCCTCAAAACAGCGTGGGTACGGAGACAGGTCTTTCTGCTCCGGCTGCGGAATCTTCTGGGTAAACTCAAAGACCCTCCACCAAACAAACCAGATAATTTCTGTTTCGCGTTCGTCAATCTGTCCGTTTCTGCCGTAGTAGAAAATTGCGTTGCATAAAGTTGCAAAAATTGGATGTCAGAGTCCAGATTGAAAAGTTAGAACAGGAGACATAGAGGATCCAATAAGCAGTTCAAAACGGTTGTTTACTCGTACCCAGTTCCCCATTCTGCGTCTTTTGAGTCCATTTTTGTGCGAGTTTCGCACGAAAACTAGATCACTGGGCTTAAAGCGCGAAAAATGAAAATTTTGGCCGAGACTGCTTTAAGTTCAAATTTTTGGCAGAAATTTAATTAACTTTGTGAACACAATGAGGCCACTGCTAAGACAATCGCGTGCAAAAATTCTGGAGACAAGCAGTTTATTGGCCCTCTCCCTGCTGTAACAATGCTTCTTGCCCCCCCCCCCTTTTGCAATGTTGTTAAAACGATTTTGAGGTCAGGGCTTATCAAATAATATGTTTTCAACATTGTTAATGGGGGGAGGTGGGCACGCACGTGAAAAAGATCACCAAAATGTGAAGAGTCTCATTATTTTGCACGCGATTGTCTATGTAGTTTCGAGTAATGATAATTTTAATACGGTTATTTCGCTTTGCCGTAAATAAGAAGCATAACAGCCTTTGCTTGCTGTGACTATGTGTTTCATGTGTGCCTAAGGATTTTACCTACAGTGTGTAAAATTGTGACGTCACAATGACGTCATCGTGACGTCATAAATGACCGTAAATAGTTCATAAATTTAACGCGTCCCGCTTGAGTATCAAAACAGTTAGGGCAAGATGCCATTGACAAGCAGATCACGTCAGAAAAGTTTGAACAATTTTCCGAATGAGTTAAAAGCACCACGATGAATTTGTCAAAAAGTTTTATGAACTGAATTATTATATCGATGAACAAACGTGTTGCAATGATCAGTGAGAAACGAGGAGAACGATTAAAGTATTAAATTTATTAAGTGCATGTTTCTATATTACAATGTTTTTCCCTATTTATACCGTTTATATTGGCAGTGCCTTTTGACTTCAATAACTGTTTTAGATGCTTAATAGTGACGAATGTATTAAGTACACACTTCTACCATGCATATTCAATAAAAGTACTATGCGAAAACTCAACGACTTATTGCCTACGTGAAAATTATTGTGAAGACCTTATACATGCATACAAACTAAATAGAACTCAATTTCAACACGTTACGCACACGTTACGCACACGTTACGCCACACGTTACGCCACACGTTACGCCTTTCACTATATAAGAATCTATAGCAAGCTGACACGTTACACACGTTACGCCTAATATATTAAAGGTAGACCTATTCTACCTTTATAAGAATGGGGCGTAACGTGTGTAACGTGTCGGTTTTCATTAATATTCTATATAAACTCAAACGTAACGTGTGGCGTAACGTGTGCGTAACGTGTGCGTAACGTGTCATCTATTCTTATATACTTCTTTGAGAGTAAATGTGCAATGATGGCTGCATGAAAAAAGTTAAAACTGTTCATCCAAAAACACCAGTTCGTCAAAACAGCGTGGGTACGGAGACAGATCTTTCTGCTCCGCCTGCGGAATCTTCCAGGTAAAATCAAAGACCCTCCACCAAACAAACCAGATAATTTCTGTTTCGCGTTCGTCAATCTGTCCGTTTCTGCCGTAGTAGAAAATTGCGTCGCTTAAAGTTGCAAAAATTGGATGTCAGAGTCCAGATTGATAAAAGCTTAAAACAGGAGACATATAGGATCCAATAAGCTGTTCAAAACGGTTGCTTACTCGTACCCAGTCCCCCGTTCTGCGTCTTTTGAGTCCATTTTTGTGCGAGTTTCGCACGAAAACTAGATCACTGGGCTCAAAGCGCGAAAAATGAAAATTTTGCCCGAGACTGCGTAAAGTTCAATTTTTGGCAGAAATTTAATTAAGTTTGAGACCACAACGAGGCCTTTGCTAAGACAATCGCGTGCAAAAATTGTTGAGACAAGCAGTTTATTGGCCCTCTCCCTCCTGTAACAATGGTTCTTGCCCCCCTCCCCCTTGTGCAATGTTGTTAAAACGATTTTGAGGTCAGGGCTTATCAAATAATATGTTTTCAACATTGTTAATGGGGGGAGGGGGGCACGCACGTGAAAAAGATCACCAAAATGTGAAGAGTCTCATTATTTTTGCACGCGATTGTAGGTGTAGAACTGAACGTTTTTCGAACTGCGTCTCGTGTTTATAATAATAAACTTTAGTTTATTATCGTAATTTTTATCTAATTTACCTATTTTTACTTGTAAATATACAGTAGAATAGACCTTATTCATAAATCGTGATGAGGCTTCGTATCCTAGGAAACGGGGAAATACGCGGGAAAATTCACAAAATGTTTTTTTTTGCTGTCGGCTATGGCAGCTTTTTATCGTGAATATTACGGCTTTTTTCGAAAATAATATCTATAAAACTGAGCTTGAAAGTTGAAAAAATACTTCTGAGAAAATATTACATGATATTTGAAGCAAAAGATGCTGGAGTCAATCGAAAAAGGAAACCTTTGACTTTGTATTATTGTCGTAGTTTGTATGGCCGAAACAAACAACCAACAAGGCTACAAAACGTTTATACAACACCAAAATCGTAAGAAATATGAAACTATTGTTGAAGAAATAAGATTACAACTCACTCAGGTAATGTAGCCTTCATTTAAAAAAATGCTTGCAGAATGTTATCGAGCCACAGCCATAGTTCATATTTTTCCGTACGAATCAATAACATTTGACGTTCTCTTGTGATTTTTTACTGTTATTTTCTTGCATATTTATGTCAAATTCGAAAAATTATACTTCCATTCCAGAGTTGTCTTGATTCTTCACGGAATAAACCTTTATATTGACGTTAAAATCTCAGTAAAATACTGTTTTTCGCTTCTGGATAAACACCACCGCTACGTTGTCATTTTTTCCACACAAAAACGGGAGAAAAACCGGTCACTTTTATAATATACTCGTTTACCGCTTTCGTTGTGGGCACAAAGTCTTAAAATACACACAAAAATCGTTATAAATCGCAAAAAGCAACAAGAAACAAGCCGCTAAAGTCGACACAATAGCATCTGAATTTGGCTTGTCAAGCAGTTTTCGCTTGTTTTCCCGCGTTTTGTTCCCGTATCCTAGGATACGAGGCCTCGTCACGATTTATGAATAAGGTCTATAGATTGAATATATATGTTCTTATACCTTGTAATTCCAAAGTAATTCAGTTGTTACTGCTAGTTTGGAAATTTATAGTAATAATAATGTAAAGGAATGTTAGTAAAAAGAGAAGTAACGTCAAACGGGACAAATCTGTAGCCTTCAGAGAATAGGGTAGGTGAGATATTATGAATGCGGTTAACTGCGTCAAAACTATCTTTTAATTTGTGTTCGTTAAGTGTGAGGAATGATCACAGTAACTTTGATAGACCTAGTGTAAACCAGCCTTTACGGACAACTAGGCCTAAATACATGATATGGTATTGCTAGTATGCTTATGCATGTATCTTTTAAAACGTGGTGTTTTAATGGTATTCAATAATAAACGTACTGTCTTTGTTTTGGTCGCAACTTTGTTGGTGAATACTAATTCCCATATGATGAGCTTTCGTTTGAAACGTCGAGGTTTTTATTCAGGTATTTACGACCAAGACCACGACAGTTCATAAGTTACTTACAGTACTCGTGGATGCAATGTCGTGTACCTGCAGGCTCTGGGAACCAGGTTGTTGCGGGCACACTAGCCGAGTATCCTCGCACCGTATACATATATATTCATGAATAATTCCAAGAATATATTGCAAATTATTTTATATTTATTTATCAGGAGATGGCAGTAGGAACATAACGATGACCATTAACACACGTAACGGTAGACCTCCAAATGCTGGAGAGATGATGGCACTAAGAATAATAATGCTGATTATTGCAATTGGGGCAATACTGAAGGACGTTCTACAGGTAAGAAGTCAAAATTATTGGAGTATGACTGGTCCATTTAAGGGGAAACCTTTTCAAAGAGAGAAATTTCTTTTCTCTTATTGGTCAATATCTAGACAAGAGTTTTTGGAAAACCAGGCAATGACGTAACGACCCGTCCACACGTATGTGCATGGATTGTTTGAATACACAACGTTTTCAAAATGGTTTCAAGATGGCGGAAACTCATTTCTCCGTTTCTTTAGTAACCGAATCTTTTCAGACAAATCCGCGTATAATAATAATAATAATATAATTGTTGTTTAAAACGCATTATACATGAGTCTCAATGCTTTTTACAACAAGAATCTAAAAATCTAAAAACAGTTACTCTGTCGGAAACTGTCGTAATTTAGAATTAGTATTTATGTTCACGCGTGGGACGCGCGAGTCCAAACTTTAAACACTTCGGAAAGTTCCGGATTATACCGGTGGTTGTTGTTTTTTCCAGGAGAGAACTTAAAAACATGTGGCTGTGAAACTGTGAAACTTGTGATTTTGTAATAGATATTATACTGTGTTTTGTTGTGATTTATTTTGGGCGATACTTGGAGGCAATCCCCAACATACTGGCACCTACCGACGCGATTTGAGCTGTGTTTTGGTACAATCCAAAGCATTTATATCGAGATTTTGTTGTGATTTGTGACGAGCGTGACCGTGAAATATTATATCGAATATGTCTAAGATTGTTGACAAAAAGCTACTGGAATTAACTGGGAAAATAAAAGCATTGAACTTTGCGATCAAAAAGTCTGACGAAGTTATTGATTCTACTAAAACCGAGGTTTTAACGCGACAAATTAGTTCAATAACGAACCGAATTCAAGCGATATATGCCTTAAAGGAGGAAATAGAGGAGATCAAATTTACCGACAACGATTCTGAGGAAAATATACGAGACTGGGCTGAGGAAATCGAGTCGAGAATTAGGAAGCAGATAACAAAGTAAGTGAAATACGAGAGCGTTTGAATGAGATTAAAGAAACAGAGAGAGCAGCAGCCGAAGAAACCGAACGCGTTGCCATAGATATCAAAAGACAAAAACAACTTGAATTCAAGAAACAAAAGTTCGAGCTAGAACAAGCAGCGAAGGATGAAGAACGAAAGCGGGAATTGAAGCACAAAACTGAACTGTTAAATAAACAATTGGAATATCAGAAATCAATCGAGACATCAACAAAAGAACAAGAAAAATCAACGTCTATTAAATTACCCAAATTACCCGTGACAAAATTTAATGGAAATTTTGAAAATTGGCTCCCGTTTTGGAATACATTCGAGGCAGAAATCGATAAATCTGACGTGCCTTCCGTGACCAAATTTGCGTTTTTGAAAGAATGGTTAGAGCCGAAAGTTAGAGCAGAAATAGAAGGATTACCTTTTACCTCAGAAGGATATCAAAGAGCGAAAAACATACTTAAAAATGAATATGGGAAAACAAGCGAGATAGTGAACTCTCACGTTCAAAACATAATGGGATTACCTGTTATTACAGACTCTAATCCTGCCAAAGTGAATGATTTTTACAAGAGCCTGTTATACAACACGCAAGCACTGGAAACTCTGGGCAAGTTGGACAAAGTAAGCGGTATGACAAGGAGTGTACTGGAGAAACTCAAAGTAATTAAAGTAGATCTGGTGAGAGGAAATGAGGGCTGGCAAGATTGGGACCTTACACGCCTTATCGTGGAGCTAAAGAAATGGAGAGATATTAATCCAGTTGATGAAAGCGGGAATACCAAGAAACAACGTAAGTCTGGATTTTATTATGCAAAGGACGGTGATCGTCGTAAACGAGCATGCGTTTATTGTGATGCTGAAACCCACAACTCGAAGGATTGCTTGACTGTAACTGACGTCGATCAACGAAAGAAACTACTGGCAGAAAAGAAACTTTGCTTTAATTGTACCGGAACTAAACATCGAGCAGCAGACTGCAAGAGTGTTCACAAATGTTCGAAATGTAATATGAAGCATCACTCATCAATATGTACAAAGAAGGATCAGCTTTTAACCGCGAGTGGATCGAATGGGGGTCCGTTAGTGTATCCAGTTGTAGTAGTAAGTGTCGAGGGTATAAAGTGTCGTGCGCTGTTAGATACCGGTTCAGGGGAATTCGTACGCTTCAGCTGCCTTGTTGGATTTGCTGCCGAAACGAACTCGTAAAAAGGAAGTGAGACGTGTTGAGATGATGCTTGGCTCAGTAACGAAGGAAATGGAACTGTCAACTGTGTGTGTAGAGGCAGTGAATGGAGAATTTGCAATGGATGTGAGTGTTACGAAAGTCGACAAAGGAGAACTGCTATATGTGGACAACCCAAACTATACAACACTGATAAATTCCTATCAACATCTCGATGGTGTGCAAATGGACGACAAAGACCAGAAACCAAAGCTACCTGTACATTTAATTCTGGGCGCAGGTGATTACATGCGTATCAAAACCAACGAAAAACCTCGGGTTGGTAAGATAGGTGAACCGGTCGCCGAAAGAACCAAGTTTGGCTGGACCATATTAGCTCAGGGCAAGGAGCTTGACTACTCTGCTATGTCTCTCACGCAGACGAGCCAATGCGACTATGAAGAACTGTGTCGGATGGACGTTCTTGGACTAGCAGACAACCCAGAACATGATCAACACGAAGTGTATGCCGAGTTTCGGGAACAGCTCACAAGAAGTGAAGAAGGGTGGTATGAAACGGGCCTTCCGTGGAAGGGCAATCACCCACAGTTGCCGAACAACTACAATGGAAGTCTACGACGAACGCAAGCTACAACAGAACGCAAGCTACAACAGACAACGCAAGCTACAACAGAACGCAACGCAAGCTACAACAGAACGGTTTAACAGATAGCTACTCCAAGATCATTGACACCCAAAAGGCAGAAGGCATTGTGGAAGTTGCCAGTCAAGACCCCCAAGGAGTAGAGTTCTACATCCCCCACAAACCCGTGATAAGAGAAAGCGCTGAGTCAACAAAGGTGAGAATCGTCTACGACGCCTCAACCAAAGCCAACAGCGGAGCCCCTAGTTTAAACCAATGTTTGAATCCAGGCCCCCACTGCAGAATGACCTTTGGAAGGTCTTGGTGAGAATGAGATTCCTCCCTGTAGCATTGTGCGGAGATATTAAACAAGCGTTCTTGCAAGTTCGGATAAGAGAAACGGACAGGGACGCACTCCGGTTTCACTGGAGTCCAGATGCGAGTCGTGAAGTCGAGACCTTAAGATTTACAAGAGCTTTGTTCGGGCTGACATCGTCACCATTTCTCCTCGGGGGAGTGATTGAACATCATCTGAAGTGTTGGGAAAGTAGGAAACCGGACGTAGTAGTTGAATTGCAAAAGAGCCTGTATGTGGACGACTTAGTGAGCGGGAAGACAACAGTAGAGCAAGCACAGACAATGAAAGACGACGCGATAGAGATATTCAACGATGCTACATTCACGCTTCACAAGTGGCATTCGAACAGACGAGAGTTGGAAGAAACGACAAGCGACAATGAAGAGAAAACATTTGCGAAGCAACAACTTGGAACACCCAGTGAAGGAGAAGCTAGCATTCTGGGACTAGCTTGGTCAAAAGATAAAGATGAGTTAAAAGTCGTTGTTCCCTTGGGGGAAGTTACTACAACCAAGCGTGGGATTTTGAGTAAACTAGCTCGAATATATGATCCCCTCGGACTGTTATCACCAAGAACTTTACAAGGGAAGATAATTTATCGTGAAGTGTGCGAGAAGAAGATATCGTGGGATGCTCCGTTATCTGCTGAGCAAAAGAATGATTGGCTCAAATGGGAGAAGCAACTGCCAAACCACATAGCTGTGCCACGTTCAATACCCACCATCCAGGAGGACATCGAGTCAATTGTATTGCATGCCTTTGGTGACGCAAGTGGCAAGGGTGTAGCAGCCGTTGTTTATGCTGTGGTTAACCAACCCTCTGGTACAACGCAAGGTCTAGTAGCAGCGAAGGCGAGATTGGCGAAACACGGGTTGACAATACCCAGGCTAGAGTTGGTCTCTGCACACATGGCATCCAACCTCGTAGACAACGTGCGACAAACCCTGGATGGATTTCCTGTGCAAGAAACATATGGTTGGCTCGACAGTACAGTGGCGCTACACTGGATAAAGGGCGGAGGAGAGCATAAACAGTTCGTAGCCAATAGAATTCAAAAGATCCAGTCAAAACCTAACATACAGTGGCGCTATGTTCCGACCGATTGCAATCCTGCTGATGTGGGAAGCAGAGGTGGCCAAGTGAAAGACAACCAACTGTGGTTAAATGGACCAGATTGGCTTAAAGATAATCGTATGTGGCCAGAAAATATCGTAACCTGTGCAACCAAAGAAAGCGAAGCTGAAGCGAAGATGATCAAAACCGTGCTAGGATTGACCCAAGATAACTCGGACTGTTTTGACCACATCCTTGAGAAGTTTGCATTACGAAAATCCATGAGAATATGCGCGTGGATTACGAGGTTCATAACAAACCTGAGAAAACCCAATAGTAGAACTTTGGGACCACTAACGACTGATGAGCTCGAGCAGCAATATGTATTTTGGGAAAAGAAAGTACAACAGAGCTGTGGTAGCGAAGACGATAAACTGCGACTCAATTTACAAGAGAACCCCCAAGGTATCCTGGAGTGCAGGGGACGCATTCAAGGTCATTATCCAGTTTATCTGTCAGACAAGCACATCTTTGCGACCAAGCTGGTGGAAGATGCCCATCTATGCACCCTTCATGGGGGAGTGGGGATGACCATGGCCCGAATTCGAGAACAGTACTGGGTCCCACGACTTAGACAACTTGCACGCAAAGTAATCAAGAAGTGTTACGGTTGTCGTAGATTCCAAGCGAAAGCAGTGCTACAACCACCACCTGGTATGCTGCCACCAGATAGAACTGAAGGGAGTCGTCCCTTTGAAACAATAGGCGTGGACTTTGCTGGTCCTATTAAGTACATTAAGAAAAAGAAGGAAGAAGGGAAGGCATACATACTACTCTATGCCTGTAGCCTCACGCGAGCGGTATATCTCGAGTTGATGCCCTGCTTAGACACAGGAAAGTTTATCGAGAGTTTTAAGAAATTCATCGCAAGGAAAGGGAGACCAAGCAAAGTCTACTCTGACAATGCAAAAACGTTTGTTTCAGCAGCAAACTGGTTACGAACAGCTCAAAACGATGAAAAGTTAAACGAATTCCTCAGCAAGAATCGAATTAGATGGCAGTTCAACCTGAGTCGCGCCCCATGGTGGGGTGGCCAGTTCGAGCGCTTAATCGGATTGGTAAAAAGAGCTCTACATAAAACAATTGGCAAAGGGTCGCTGAGTTGGGACGAGCTGAAGGAGGTCCTCGTAGACATCGAAGTAGCATTGAATACAAGACCACTCAGCTACATGGAAGACGATGTACAGTTACCAACGCTAACGCCTAACTCCATGATGTTCATTGGTTCTACATTTGCGCCAGAGCTGGAAGCACATCACATACAAGAAAAGGATCTACGCAAGCGTGCAAGGTATTTGTTAAAGTGCAAGCAAGCAATGTGGCGGAGATGGTCAACGGAATATCTGCGCGGTCTACGAGAGCGGCATAACCAAAATCACAAGAAGACGTCGTTCACGGTGAAAAAGGGTGACGTGGTTATTATACAATCGGATGAACGAAGTCGTGGAAAGTGGCCTCTTGGTATTGTCGACGAACTGTACAAAGGACGTGATGGTGTTGTTCGTGCGGTGAAACTTCGTGCAGGAAAAACCTACCTTGAACGAGCAGTGAACCACCTGTATCCACTCGAGTTATCCTGTGACCGTACAGAAACGAAGGAACCTATCAACTTAAACCCGGAAGCGGAGTCGTTCCGACCAAGACGAGATGCTGCAGTGGCAGCTCAACAACGCATTAAAGAAGTAGCAGAAGTAGAACGTTGACGAAAACTAT